GAAATTGTAGGCTGCCTTTTTTTTTTCTACTGTGGGTTCTGCAGTAGTATTCTGTGTGATATTTTGAAATTATTTAATGAAGTTTAGCAAATGAGTGTAGGTTTTAAATTAAGGTGATTGGTTCTTGTCCACACTGAGTGAATGTGTCAACTGAATTAGCAAGCCTTGTTTCTTCTTAATAGGTATTGATAGAGAAACAGTACTTATATAGTAGTTCCTAAAAATAAACCTCATTCCTGAGGTTAGCCTATAAACTTTCTCATAATAAAGAAAACATTAAGTGATAATAGCTCTGAGATGTAACATGTTCACTTAGGAGTCTCTCTCCTTAGTATAAAGCTCATGGGATTTTTTAGTTGTATTCCTGATTCCTATTAAAACGGAGTCATTTAATCTTTATTATTTTACACACCACAGTAAAATCCAAAAGCTGAAACTGCTCTCAAGTAGTGAGTTATTCACTTACCAGAAATTTCACAGTGATTCTGGATGCTTGACACAAGCATTTAGAAAGTATAGAAATTAGGATTTTCCATAATGTTTGAATTTCTGTTACTACATGGAGATGGGGCAAAACCAATGTTTGATTTAGTTGCTTCCTGTTGGTTCTGTTGCTTGGTACCCCAGGTGACCCTGAGTTTCACAGAGCTTTCCTCAGAGCATCTTTGGGCACCTGCAGCTATGGGCTGGAGTGTGTTGCATGGGTTGCATGAATGTTTCATGTGCTGCATGCAGGCTGATTGTGTTGGGCCTGACAGACAGACCTGGAAAAGCTGATTTAGTGGTTCCTGAGGAGCTGCACAAGATCTGCTGAACATCTGCTATGTGATGTATGTTTGTTCGCTTCCAATTGCTTGTAGTAACTAAATAGGTTCAATTTTTACTGGGATAAAAATCCCTTCCCCTGACACAAAGGCATCCTGTTTTTCTCTCAGTTGTTTATTACCTTTGTAGTCATGCAGAGCTGTATTTATCAAGTAAACGTTTTCTCTGTAGCACGGGCCTCAGTTGTGTGTATAGTCTGAAAGATGATTTACAAGACTACTTTTTCCTTAAAACTCTATAAGAAGTACAAGTGAAAAAAATTGCTGAGGTATCTGTAAAGGTATTTTATGAAATGTTTTCCTGTGTGTTCACTAAAATAGTTCATTTCTCCTGACATATTCCTGCTAAGGATGCTGAGGCTTAGAGAATCACACAGAAATGTTGTTTGTCCTGTTACTAGTTACCACATCACAGAAGCTGACAAAAACATTTCTAGGTGGCAGTTTGATTCCTTAAAAGAAATATTTGTTGAAACACCAAAGAAAAGGAACTTTTTAAAAGGTTTTTTCAGAAAATCAGGGAAAATGTACAGGACCCTGCCTGATGATAATAAGTAACCCAAGTAGGTAAGTGATTCAGACATTTAGACAGAAGGGTTGTTCTGAACTCAGTTGTTTAATGGTCTCTTCATCTCATGTTTTTCATGAAAAACCGTGAGAGGGCTTAAATTCTTCCTGACGTGAAACAGGAAACATTTTGAAATGGTGTCATTTTTCACAGGACAGGAAAAACTTTGTCATTGAACTCTACACGATAAGTTAACAGTTGTTACTCCTTTTTGTTAAATATGACTGATTTACAGTAGAAATAAACTGAAGTTTTCAAGGTATTAATTTGTGGTTTACTACTTGCAGTAATTTCTTGGAAGAGGAAGACTTTTGTAATAATAACTGGTGAATTTTCCAGCAATAGAAACTAAATTTTATTTAATTAAAATGAAAACTGATTCTAGTTTATGACATGAGCATTGAGGTATGATTGCCCTTAAAGTTTGCACACCACAGTTTTGCAGCAAGGATTTCATTAGAAATCACATAAGATTTACATTTTGGAGGATTTAATTAGTACTATCATTTACTAGCCTGTAAATTTGAAAAGGTGCTGGCTACAGCATGGACTTGCACTCACTGGGCAGACAGGTCTGTGACACCTTCCCTGCTCCTTTGCTGCCCTGGCAGGGAAGATGGTGTTCCTGTTACAGGGTCAGCATAATGAAATCTGTACCTATGCATCAGCATAAGTTTAGCTCCTGCATTTGCAAAAATTACTAAAATCAGTAGCTTCTGTTGACATGTTCATGTCTGTGTTGGCTGTGTTAAGGTACAGCACACAGTCCATCCCAGAAGGTCAGGTTTGGGAAGGAGGAGAGGAATGAAGTTTCCAGAAGAGTAGATCCAACACCTGGGGGCAGTAATTGCTAAAACTGTCACATCCATGCTGTCTCTGTGATGGCCGTCAGAGATTTATAGCAGACCAGAGACACAAATTATTCTTCAGAGTGATCTAAGCTGACCTCCAGTAGATGCTGAAATGTCAGCTGGGGCCTCAGAGTCTTGTTTCATGGAAACAGATGGATAGGAAGTTTACCTGAGAGGCCAGATGTAGAAATCCACATTTGGTCAAATGAATCCTTGCCATGTAAGTTGAAGGGAGGAGCATTGATGTGAGATAGAGAAAGTTAGATTCTTGCACTTGACTTTTTAAAAAATATTTTATTCTAAAATAGTTGAGGTAACTCCTAAGAAATGTGAAGCAAATACTAGTCAGACATGAGAAGGAAAATACTAACTGACTGCTTGAACTTTGTCCAAGATGAAGTTCATGTTCTGTATATGGACATGTAAAATTAGAAAACAGAGAAGCCAAAAATACCCAATGTTGTTTGCAAGGAGTGTTGAATATGCTTTTAGTAAGACAGATGTTCAGTAAGTTTATCTTGTATACAATGAAAATTATGAGTTTCATAATATTTGCTGATATTCGTCATGTAATTAATTTTTCTTATCATTGCCACAGCATCCATACATTAGTAGGGCAGCTAAATCTCAATTGACAGTGTTAATGAGGAAATTTTGTCAGATGTTAATAGGAATTTGGTTTCAGTTTTAGCCTAGTGGACAGTGTAGGACTGCTTTCCTCATTTACTGCTTAGCATGTTCTAGAAGCTAGTTTACTGTTTCCAGCAAGTGAGAGGTGATCTTAAGAGGATGAGAATGAGATCGCTTCTTTTCATTCTGCAGTGCATTGCATCAACAGACAAAATAAACCCTCAATAATCTTGCTAGGCATTGCTATGGCTGAAGCTGGTCATGTAAAGTTGTCCAGCATTGTCATGGGCACTTGTTAATTGTGGGGATATGTTTCCTTTTTACCATGAAGATAATTTAGTAATTTTTATTAAGGTAGTGTTAATATTGTGCAAATACTAACATGTCTGTTTTGGTGTTGCCTTTTGTTGTTGTTATATATATTGAGGTTATTTTCTTTTCTACCAGAGCCAAAGTTCTGGTAGAGGAGAAGATAGAAAGGCAGTGTATTGTTGAATGAAGGTATTGAAAAGGGAGTGGATTCAATCTGGTTTTCTACACTACTAAGTTATCTACCAGTATGTAGAAGACTTCAAACCCTTAAACACTTGAGGGTGGGTTTTGGTGTGTTGGGGCATTTTGGGGGTGGGTTTTGGTGTGTTGGAGCATTTTGGGGGTTTCTGGAAGGTTATTTTTTGTTGGTTTTGCTTGTTTATTTTTGTTGTGTTTTTTCCAATTAAAGCTGCTTTGAATTGAGAAAATTTTATTTTCCCAGAAGGAAATAATTACCCTTTTTCTTGAGGGTTTTGTTTTGTTTTGTTTTTTAATGGATGAGGTTGGGGTTTTTTTGTTTATGTGTTTGTTTCTGGGGTTTTTATGTTTTTGGTTTTTTTTATTATTGTTACTATTTTTTAATTTATTTTTTTGGAGGAAGCTGTTGTTTAAGATCTAAACCTGCATTACTTGTACCTGAGGACTTAAATGCACAGTATCAGTGCCAATTAACTTTTGATAGGCTAGGTCTTGTTTGTTGATGGATAAAGTATTCTGTAGTTAATTTTGAGATTGTCAGAGATGACTGCACGGTTTTTCCAAAGAGCACCAATGGACTCATGGAAAACAGTGATTACAAATCTCTTCTTGTAGGTGCAGATAGTACTTTTATAACTCTATGTGATAACTACTGTGTAGCTTGATAAAACAGAATTATTCAAATCAGTTGGTTTTGATTTCATCCCATTCCAAAATGAAAAATACTGCCTTTAGCAGAACTGAGCTCTATTTCTTTTATATTGCAGAAGGTTTTCTTAAAATACCAGTTGACATGATTTGTTCTGTCAGAAGTTGAAGAAAAACTGCCTAATTATTTTTTGTTTATTTTATAAGCATACCTTAAATGACAGTTCAATTTAACACTCTACAAATAAATTACTTTTTAAAATAATTTTTTTTAAATGGGATGGAAGAAAGCTGAATTTTTTTCCTTAATAACAGACTACCTGGAGAGAAGAATTACAGTGTAGGTTTGACTCACCAAGAATGCCAGACCTGATCTTCTGATGCTGTTTTTGAGAACCTCTGATAAGGACTTGTAAATAGATGCAGAGCTAGGGGAGTTCTTACTAATTTTGTATGATTCTTCTCTTTTAAAAATATTTTCGATTGTTAAAAGCTACAGCTAACATTTGGTCTCTATTGCTGTTACCCACAATTAAAATTATCTTGTAATTAGGATCATTTAAAAATAACTTGTACATGCCTGACCTGTTCTCTGTGTGACAGTATTCAGCAACTGCTGATACATCTGTGGTTGAGTTCAGGATTATGACTTGGATATTCTGTGGGCAGTATTAATGTGGGTGGAAATTACTTAGAAGGATTCATCTGTTCTAGGTAAGCAGTATTGGATTTTTGTTACTTCAAAGGCTGTGTTAGGAAGAACAAGTCTGTCAGTCACTTGTTCAGTGACAGAATTCTAGGAAGCAGTGGGCTTTGACCTTTTTGTTTTTAAAGGAATAGTTAACCTTCAAGGTGAAGAGTAGGTTATTTGTTTGTTTTCTAGGTAATTCTGAATAAAACAGAACAAGCATTAATTAATTTTGAAATAGCATGGATATAATGCTTTGAGAGGTGTGTGGAACTCCCTGTTGTGAGCTAGTTTTGCCAGTCACACTTTTCAGTGGGACAGTGGCATATGTGGCTCCTTGGTAAAGATCTTAGGTCCATTAAGATCTCTGAAGGTTCAGCACTCAAAAGAGATTTTAAATTGCATAAAAGGTAGTTGGTAAGTGTAGAGTAGAAGTGTTTAGTGCCTTCAACTTTATGTTATGGTATGGTCATGAGTATGAAAAGTTTAATCCACAAAATCAAATCTTAACTTTAGAATGTGGTCAAAGATCCAAGATTCTTTTCTTTTTATTCGATTAGATTTGCCTACCACAAACTGCTGTTTAATTTACAGTTACCAATTGCTTAGTAGAAGACTTTATGGATCTTATTTTTCTGGTAACTACTAGTTTTGTCATGAAACGTTCCTGCGTATTTTACTGCCCATTTGGTTACATAAGCAAAAATTTATTGATTCATAAATAAATGTTTACCTCCAGAGTATAGTGTTAATGCCATATTTGCATTAACCTGGATTATAATGTATTGCTTGAAAAATTAGTGCACAGTGGATTATAATATACTGATCGAAAAAAAATTAATGCATAACTTCTCTGTGTTCTGGATATCATTTCGAAATTGAATGCTTCAAGACTGGTTGTAGTCACTATCTCAAAATCTCATATAGGTATCAAAAGTCTCATAATCTTATGTAGATAGGAAGGACAGTTTGCATCTTCAACTCAGTTGGAGCATGATTGGAGCATGGATTTCAAATTCCTATATCTGGTGTGCCTGTTTGTGTCTTCTCAAAGCTCACTATGTTAAAGTGTGGGGGAGGAAACACCGCAGCAAAACAATGCGCTGCCATGCTACTTGCTCAAATGAAACTAGATGCCAGACTCTTTGAAAGGCCCTGCACAACAGTGCCAGTACCTTAAGATGACCCATTATTTGCAGTTGTTTGTAGCTTGTATCCATGAAGAAGCAGAGGAATGGGCATCATATCAAAATCAGTATTGACAGTGGGTAAACAGCAGATGCTTAGACAAGAATAAGTGAAAATGCTGCTGGAGTATTGCTGTGCTTGCTTACCATTCTGTCTTTTTGTGATTTTGTGGTCTAGGAGCTCCTGAGTTAGAAATCTTGTCTTTGAATATGGAGTTTGTCATGGATTTTCTTCCTGTAGTTTGCCCAGCCACATGAACTTCACGAACTTTAGGCTTAGTTGTACGTTCTATGAGAAAATAACTTTTTTTTTTTTTCTTTTTAGCAGCCCTTTCTGTCTCATATTATTGGAACAGCCAGAAATTGTTCCATATTGTTCCATATTTACCTTCCCTCTGTCAGTTTTGATCTTGTGGAAGTCCTCCCCTTGTTTTATCTGCCTTCTTCTATTTCAGTGCTCCTCATACAAAAGCATCTGTCCCATGTAGACAATTTCTGTATCTCTGTATTAGTAAATGAAAACAAACCAGAAGTGCTCACAGAATTGACTCAATATGTGTGACAGAATTACTTTGTGATTAATTTTTCACTTCTGTTCTGCATCTCTCTCCTCATGGTCTGTATAATTCAGTTTTATTTTCTTGTCAGCTCAGAGCCAAGATGCTGTTACTTTTACAGGGAGCTCTGTTGTAGCCCAAAGTTCCTGTCCCAGTGTGCTGGTAGTCAGCTCTGGGTCTGTTGCTGTATGTCTCAATTTAAGACCCCTTATCTGTGGATGCTTTTAACCCTCACCTGACTTCCAGGAACTGGTGCAAATCTGATTTGTTCAGAAGGAAATCAGAGCAGCTGCTATGAGAGCAGGATTTGGTCTTAGAAGGCATTTTCTTTTCCTAAGGGTAGGCTAGTTAACATCTGGTCTTTGCATATTTCTTCTTTCCCATCTCTCTTATTTCTTAAGCTTTAAGGAAAAGGGGTATTTGAAAATAGAATAATTGCTTCAGGATAGGCCAGGTGAAGTATTGAAATAAAAGAGCAGTAATAAACTTCAGATTTTTTGTGATATTTTCCTTAAGTACATGTTCATTGATTTATTTTTTACCTTTCCAATCGGCCGTGTACTCAAACAAGTCTCCAGCAACTGCAAGTCATTGGAGCATTTCACAGCTGCAGGAGCATGCAGTAGGACTCAGAGTATTGTGTTGGAGAAACTACCACACTTTGTCTAAGCTGCACCAGAATTAATTTGCTTTTGAGAATCACTTCAGTGTTTGCTAGTGCTTCGATTGCTAGGACTTGTGTTTGTTTTGCCCCCTGTGCTGGTAGGTCACTGCTGCCATATTCTGCTCTGTTTTGTCGGTAGGGTATGGCCTGTTCTGCACGTTTGTTCCTACAGAAGGCTCTCCTGAAAGCTCAGGAAAAGTGCCCCACTGGTTTTAGCAGAACCCCCTTTGGGGATTTGCCTGCAACGTGGGTGTTTGCTCTGCTCTGGTGCTCAGCTGGTGACCTTGCTAGTACCATTTCTTATAAAGCATACTCTCTGAACTTGGATCCTTTGGAAAATAATGAGGGATGACATTCAGTATTATACCTTTTTTTTTTCTCCAGTGTAATAACTTTCTCATCTATGCTTGTTGAATAGCAAGTAGAATGAATAATTTCTTGCACAGCTTCCCCATTTTGGTAACATTAAATTTCGGCCACTCCCTTCCATCTTAAATGCCATCTCAGACTAGGGAGTATAAACACCTAATTTTAAACATGACTCACTTTGATGATTGTACAAGTGTACTAGATGCTTATTTCTGAAAATTGCTATGACATCCCTAAACCAAACCTAAGTAGGGAGTAACCTGGATGGTTGATTTAAATCTTTTAAGTATACATCTATACTTGTCCGTCAGGGCCAGTCTTTCTGTAAGCAGAGGACAAATGAGGTGAGGATTGTTGCTGCTTTGCACAAGAGAGAAAAAATAAAAAGGTTGTCACTGGAAAAAATCCTTGATTTACTGCTAATTGAAACAAAATACATCAAAGGAATTGCCATAAGTGTGTTAGAAGCAGCAATCTCTTACTGGTGTGAGGACAGGTCATACTGTAAGCTACTTTCAGGCTTTAACAGACATTTATTATTAGGTTATGGCTGATATACTTTCAAAGTATTTCCTTCTCTCATAAAGATGCTACAAGATGGAACCATGTTGTGAAAAGTGTGTTGTTTGTCCAAGTTAAAGCTTAAAATATAGCTGTGTTCTTGAAAAGTTATTTTTAGCTGTATTAGCTTGTAAGTTCAAAATCAGTACATATTTTTATTCTACAGATTGGCATATATTCTAGATATGTACACACATTTGTGGTTAAGAAACACAAAAGAAATTAGTGGACATCATACCAGGAAAGCATCTTTCTTTGGGCAGAAATATCCTTTCAGTAAGGAACACCAAGGGTTTGCATGCTGTATAGGAAATGAGCTAGCCATGACTAGCGTTTATCTTGGTTTTGTTTAGCAGTGCATTATGTAAAGCAGGCTAGGAGAAGTGGATGCTTTAATAGCAAAGAAGGAAAAACATAATGTTTAATTACTCTGAAGAGCCAGAACTTAACCTGCAAGACTTCTTTACAGTGAGGTGAGGAGCATGGAAATAAATCTATCCCTAGAGATCAGCAAAGGAATTTGTCTGAGATTTCCTGATCATAGTTGATTTGATTCTTCAGTACTAGATGCTAATTTACTGGGCCTGGCTGGATTAGACAGCAGTCAATGAGAGTTGGAATTTGTTTTTCAGTATCCCCAAAGAAATCTATACTGTGGGTTTAACTTTCATGGCTTTTTCATGTAATGTCACCTACAGTACTTGCCATGGATGTGAATGTTGACAGAAACTTTTAAATCTTTCATTTCTAAAATTTTGTCATGTTAAATGCTCATGCACAGAAACCTGAAAGCAAAACTTCCCAGGGACTTTAATGTCACAGAACAAATGGAACAAAATCCATGTACTGATATTTCTAGTTTCTCAAGTACCTGACAGCCTCTTCCTGCCCCAAAACTTGGAATTTTGTGTTTATGACTACAGAAAGGAGAATTTGTTTTTGTTATGTGCAGGTAAAGTAAGCTCTTGGTGCATTATGTAACTTTTAAACTGGACGGGGATTTTGCCATGGAGATAATGAGAGACTTGGTATCTGATGTGCAATTTTTTTGTTCTGTTTTGTTTAGTGGGAGACTTTGATAAGATCTGGCGTGAGCATTGTGAGGATGAGGAAACTCTGTGTGAATATGCTGTGGCAATGAAAAACCTTGCAGATAATCACTGGGCAAAAACTTGTGAAGGGGAAGGCCGAATTGAATGGTGTTGCAGGTAAATAATGTATTTGAAACATGCAATTGCACGTTTTTACTTGTAGTTATTTATAATGTGAAGCTTAATTGTTTTTTTAGTTTTTGCCAATATTTAACATTTGTCCTATAGCATATTAATAATTTATTGCTTTCTTAAAGAAATACCTTCTTAGTATTCCAGCTTACTAAGGAAATAGCTTATTAAGTGTTTTGTTATTAGGTGATCCTTTTTTGAAGTATTTTCAGCAAACTATTTTTTCTCAAATACTGAAGCTGTTTGCAGATAAATCTATGAAGTAATTTTCCATGCTTCTGAACCTAAGCTGAGTAAATGCAATGAGTGTAACTGAAGTTTAATTTTCAGGGGTTTGGTTTGATTTGTACATATAATAGTGTTTGATCTCTACATGCAGATCTCTGGTGCTTAATTTTCAGTTCTTAATCTCCTGTGACAGATTTTACCCCTGTGAAACTTGTTTTAAATGTGTTTGAAACTCTAAAATTCCTATTTGTGATAAACATCCAGTTTTTGTTGGGCTATCTGAATTGTCAAGTCATGAAATGAGGCACTAAACTATTTCAGTCCCTGAGGAAAATAAATAGTAAAAAGAGGGGAGATGTTGGTCATTCAGAATTCCTGCATAGAGTTGGCATCCAAGACATACCACAGTATCTGTACAGCAGAATAAAACAAAATGCTGCTGAGATTTAAATGGGAAGAGAATGTATCAATGGTCTTGCCATTGGGAAGGGAATGACTTCAGAAAACCAGAAAGTAATCTTGTGTGCCAGTCTGTAGGTCCTGCAGGTGAGTGTTGCAAAGTGCTGAGCAAAGAGCAGTAGATGTGGTATTGCTAAATTTAAATTCTCTTGAGCCCATAAAACAAAAAAGAGAAGAAGGAATTGACTGTGAGACACTTGATCTTGGTGGCAGCTTGAGCTCTTCTGTGGCTTCTGGAGATGGAGCAAGTAATAATAAGCTGAGGTTTTTTCCCTGGCATAGACTGGTAAATATTTGAAAACCATTCCTTTACTTACCAATGTTTTATTCTTTAGCTTAGAAAAAGAAGTCATAGCTAAGTGTTTCTTTCTAGATGCCTTTCTGGACATGCTTTGTGTATCTGTATCCCAGTTATGTGAGAGGTGTCTCAGTTATAAAGAACTAAGCCCAAAAATGGACTGAGGGTTTCAATGGCTTTGCAGGGTTAAATCAAATAGATTTTATTGAGATTGTAGTAGACTCTCATTTATGCTATTGACTTTGTTTGGTGGGAATTTGATATTTTGTTGGTTTTGGGTCTTGTTTGGCTTTTTTTGTTCTGTTCTTTTGTTTGTGTGCTTGTATGGTTTTTTTTGTAATTGGCATGGTGCTGACTTTTGCTCTTTTGTGATCCCCTGCTGCCTATTTCTGTGTTCCAGGCTTCCTGAGTTGCTAGTTGTTTACTTGATTTGTGCTATTCTTTACTTCTGTGGAAATGCTGGTACTTATATTTCTCTTTACTACATTACACTCCCTTAAATCATATTGAATTCTAATAGTGCAATTTCTTGCAGCATCTTCCTCCCACCCTGCCCTGATTTGGCATCACTCTCAGATCATTTATGAGGAACTGAAACTGACCCACAGTTCAGGTTATCTGTGGAAAAAAATAGTTGTACTGGACCCAGGGCATATTCCATGGAACATTACTTGGTATTTTCTTACAATTTGATTGTCAGCTAATATTTGAAACATTTTAAATAGAGCTGTGCATTACTTTTATTTCAGCTAAGCAGTAAGCCTATAGCTTGTGGCAAGTTTGTTCATTATCCTGTAGGACAGGATAATGTTTCTTGTGGACAGTGATGACTTATATATATGAAGGTTTTGGGGCTCCCACTTGGTTTGTGTTATAGATCACTTACAAGGTAAACATTGAAGTAAATATCCAGTTTGGGCTTTGCAGCCTGAGCTCATATTAAGAAGAAAATCCACCCACTAAGAGATGCTAAAATGCTTTGTCTTGGTATAAAGCTTCAGATAAAGCACATAGCTTTTCAGTTTGCAAACTCAAGGGACTGGGAGTCTTTACATTAGCAGAAAAAGAGAGAGTTCTTTTAACTTCTCAGATTATACAGAGGTCTGGATTGCTAAATACCAAAATATATCAGATTGACTTTGTGTTCTGCAATTTTTTGTTCCTTCTCACGGGCCCAAGACGTGTGGTGCAGGTGGCAGGTCCCATTGCTGTTACTCCGCCTTGTGCCCGGGTGCAGAATTGCATGCAAGAGAACTTGGCCTGAGCCTTAGGTGAAAGCTTTTGCTCAGTGCTTATCACTGTTACCATGACAGCAGGAAGGTAGCTGTTTCATATTAGATGAATTTTAATTTATGAGTGGAGTGCTGAAAATAGATTGGAAGCACCCGTGTATGTCTCCTGAAGAAAGAAGACTGCGTTTTGTTTTAACTTGAAGGACGATCTTTTCAGTGATCTGAAACTGAGAAGCGTTTTTTTCTCTAGTTAAAAGGGAAAAAAAGTACAAAAGACTTTGAGTTTTTGTTCTTCCTTCATTTTTCCTTGTATTCTCCTAGGAACTGATAAAATAAATCAGATAGCATAGAATAACCACTAGAGAAGCTATGCATGCTTCTCAGGATCAAGAATAACAAATTTGTTTTTCTTTCAAAAGCCTTTTTGTTGAAGACACTGGGAAAAAATCTGATATTAACTCTTAAACCAGATGACATAAAACTTACTGTTTAACTTCTTCATTAGTGTTGATTTAAAGAACATGTATCCAGACTCCAGAAACTGTAAAAAATGGAAAGCAGTACCTGATAGACTGTGCTGGTGGCCATATGCTGAGTTGTATAGAGCCAATTTTGTTTATTGTTTCAGGAACACATTACAGAACTGTTAAGTGGGGAGAGGGATGGGAGAAGAGGGATTAAAACTTTATCTGCTTTCAGATCCACATTTGTGATCCCCTGAGTGGTGGTGTAAAAAGCCTGGGCAACACTCAACTGTTTATTCCTTCCTTCCTTTATATACATTTAGAAAATTGAAAGCGAGTAGCAAGTGATATTTGCAAATTAACACTTCTGTTTCTCTTTCATTTATACTACAACACAAAACTTAAACAAAACACATTAGGGTAGTGTTTACCCTGAATAATTGTTGTAACTCTTTGATTTTTGCTGGCATAGATAGGCTGGTGAACCTTTGTACACACAATGAATGCCAGCCTGTTCTGGTTCTAGTTAGAACAGAATAAGCCAGACTAGCAGGTTTGCTTCTTTCTGTTGCTTTTGCCTCAGTGTTAAGACTTGTGTTGACTTGACTGTTTTTTTTAAAGAGCAAAAAATAAAATCTTCTAATTATCATGACAAAACACTATCTAGACCTGCACTTTTTAAAAAAGTCTTTTGACTGTTTAATGAGTAAAGAAATACAGTTCTGATGATATTAATGACAGGTGAGTACAGAACTGTTTGGAAACATTTGCTGAGAATAGTTGTGAGAGGCTTATCTTAAAAATGTGATTTACTGAGAAGGATTCTGTCAGAGTGTGTCTCTGTATCCATAACTAATTAATACTTTTATTAGCAGTCTGCTGGAGTAAAGTGTATTTATTAAATTTGGAAATGAGACCAAAGAGACAGGAACTTTCACTCTGAGAGCAGAATTAAAATTATTGCTGTTATAAACTATACTAGACATTATCTACTATATTAAATATCAGCTCTACAAATAAAGGCTCGAGAATAATTGATTGTGTCAGTCTTTCAAAAAACTCTTTGGATTCTGAAGCAGGCCATAAACTGAATATGAAGTGGTCATGGATGCTTTTGCAGTAGAGGCAAATATCATACTTAAGTGTGTTAATGAGATTGTCCACAAGATATGTAAAGTGCTACTCTGACTTAATTTAGCATTGCTATTAGCCAAAATATCACCTTGGCCACTGCATTTAAAAAATAACAAACAGCAGCTCAACTCCAAGAAAGATAAAGAAATTATCAAAAGCCTTCTGTTTTTTCCACAAAAGCCTTGGTGTTCTTTTCTAGAAACTGGAGCTCTCTAGTCAAAAGAAGAGAAGGCTAAGTAATCTGTTAGAGGATCTTTGAGAATAACAGATCTCTGCTAGAACTGGAAAGCTGATCCTGTTTAATAGGAAGATTAAATGAATGAGTGTTTGCAAGTCCCTTCCACACTGTTTTGCAGGTTTTTTTGATGATTGCAATTAGTTGAGCAATTCACTGCAAGGAGAATGGAACTGAGGAAGGTGGAAGAAACAGCAGGAGGGGAACCATTTTAAATGGGAAAGGACAATGTTCACATTTATATGACCGTCTTAATGTTTTGCTGTTAAACACATTGTTTGCTGATGATAGTAAATTGTAAGGAGCTGTTAACTCCCTTGAAGGCAGATAGGCCCTCCAGAGAAACCTCAACAAATTAGAGGGCTGGGCAATCACAAACAATATGAATTTTAACAAACACAAGTGCTATATTCTACACCTAGGATGGGGCAACCCTGGATGTAAGGATGGACTGGGGAATGAAATACTGGAAAGCAGCACCGTAAAGGGACCTGGGGCTCCTGGTTGATGGCCAGTTGAATGTTTGATTAACAAAATCTTATGCATTCATATTGGCTTTTGCTGACACTTTGTGTCCAACCCAAATGGCAGACAAAGCGGGGGAGTCAACTGGAACAGGTTATTTATCATTTAATATTTGAAATATGGAAAATAAGTTTCACTGAGAAAATATAAAGACTTGATTTTTTGATTTCTTTTTTAAAGCAAAGACATTAACTTCACACTTCTCCCAGAAACCTAACCTGTCTCTCATCTAGGAAACTGAAACAGTTTAGACCTGAAATATTTATTTTGCAGTTCGTGTGAACTGTAGTAAGTGTCAGCTCAGATAGCATTTACATTGCACAATTCTTCATAAGCAGGTGTGTTAATTGTAGAGCTAATATTGTGTCATCACAGACTGAATGTTTGTCAGTTAAAAATGGAGCCGTGTCAGATTTTAGAATTATAAAATAGATTCCTTCATATTTGCTTTGTAGATAATTGAGATGCTCTGTTTCTTACTTGAGACAGTTGTTAAATGTAGAGTCTTTTATAACTGCAGACTCAAAACCAGGGTGATCAGTGATGGCTTTAATGGCTGTGAAGTTCAACATCTGGCTGCATCAGCACGTTACCTTGGGGTAAACTACAGAGTGCATTATTTCTGCTAGCTGCCAGTGCAGTGAGTGCCCCTGTGCTTGCTGTTACCCCACAGGAAGTGTGAAGGTCACTTACAGGAGGAGTACATAGGCAACTCCTCTGAGAGCTCAGAGCCAAAAGGGCAACATGTAGTAATCATGCCAGAATGACTGTGACATCAGAAAAGTGTAAAGGGAGGATAACCCTCAGTGGCTATGAAGTGCAGTGTGATCTGAGGTTTTTTGTTGGGATTTGGTGGATTTGGCTGGGGTTCCTTGGTACCCTGTGGTACTACACCAGTATGCAGACCCTGGGATCGGAATGTGAAGAACTGTATCCATTCTTGGGCCTTCCTGTGGCATTGGCCAGTTGTCCACCTGGGAAAATGAAAAAGTAGGAGATGCTTCTCTTTATTGTTAACTTGGTAGTGTCTTATGTGTAAATGAGGAATGTCTGTTAGGAAAAATACAGAATTATGAGAACTCAGTTGACATGGTTAGAGGTAGAAAGATGGAAGAAACACTCATTTGCATCAGTACCAAGAATGAGGAAGAAATGGCTTCTCAGTGACAAGATGAATTGGCACTTTACAAGTAGGTGGTTCTCCCGTGCTCATTAAGTGTTAAGCTGGGTAGCATACCAGCTTCTAGGGAATTAAAAGGTTGATAACATGAATAGATGAGAAGACAAAGAAAACATTCTTCCAAGCTTGAGAATTCTCTCATGTCTTGCATGTCAGTGCAACACTACTTAAACTGCTGTTGATTATGGATGTTTTAAGATGCATAATGAGAAAAAAAGACTTAGAATAAAAATAGAGACTACAGGGTGCTAACAAAGTGGCGCAGTAGCTGATAAATGGACAAAAATTTTTCTTTTCAAGTTTCATTTCTTTGACTAATTGATACACAGAACTAAATAGTTCTAAATTGATCCTATGCTTATAAATAAATAGTACAATGTGTAAAATACACTTTAATTAGTATACCAGCAGTAATGCAACTGTTTTTTTCTGGTGTTCTCATTTGTTTATTGATCTCCTTAAAATCTTATTCCTGCTGAAAAAAAAACTTGTTATACTTTGTTTTAGAGTTGTTTTCTTTCCATACGTGCCGTCTCTAATGGGTGGGGTTGCTATAATTTTGCAGTCTGTATGTCTGGTAGTATTGCAACCTAGACTGGAGCATCTGTCTTATGAGGAAAGGCTGAGGGATTTGGGCCATTTCAGTCTCAAGAAGAGACAATGGAGAGGGGACCTCATCAATGTCTATCAGTATCTGAAGGGAGGGTGTCAGGAGGATGGATCCAGGCTCTGCTTGGTCATGCCAGCCAGTGGGACAAAAGGCAACAGGCAGAAACTGATACACAGAGGTTCTACCTAAAAGAGAAGTTCTTTGCTCTGCAGGTGACTGAGCACTGGAACAAACTGCACAGAAAGGTAGAATATTCCTCACTGAAAATATTCCAGAACCCTCTGGATGCAATCCTGTGCCATGTGCTCTGGGATGACACTACTTGAGCAGGGAGCTTAGATCAGATGACCCTCTGAGGTCCCTTCTAACCTGACCCATTCTATGATTACACAGAATTTCTGACTCAAGGCACTTCTTTCCTAGCTATCTTGGGGTAAAGTTATTTCTAACTGTGCCTGTTTGTGTATGTTTCCATCTAAGAAACTCAATGCCACTCCAATGACATTTTTTTTTGTTGTCCTTCACATCTTATGTAACGAAGAGACTGGGTATATTTGATGGCTAAAATATCACCAAACCTTAGATTAGCCCTGTGTATTCCAAGTCTTTGTCACTATTTGTGATTTAAATGCACCATTTTACCAATGTGTCCATCCTTAAATCTATGATGTGAAGTGTCATTATCTTGTTCCTGCTTTGTATAAGATATTATTAAACTACACTTGAATTTATTTTTTGTGGAATGTTCCTTCAAACCTCTGCAGTTTTGTTAGAGGAAAATGGAGTGAATTTCAAGAAAGCATCACAAAAATGAGTTGTTCAGAAAAGATTATTAAAACAAGGATTATTTCTGAAATTTTCGTGCAAATACTTGGATGGCAGATTTAATTTATCTGAATTGTGCAGGGTGAACCCGGCTTTTTAATTTCACAGCAACAATTTTTTCCAGTTATATTTTGTGGATGAAATTCAGTTTTTCTCAAACACAGTGCTTAGTTCTCATACACTAATGCTGACTACTGATTGAAGAACACAAGTGCTGTTTAACTTCTTTTGTAACATTAATTTCTTTAAACTGGCTAATATTTCTGTTCAAGTATGATTAATTATTTTGTTTTAGTTCCTATAAGAAAAGTAAGTAAATATGGGGTAAAACTGAAAGCTAAAATAAGTCTTTGACAGGAATACAGCTGCTGTCTGTTACTTAAAACAAAAAATGACCAGTCAAACTCAATTAAAATGAAAATGTAAGTTTGTGCATAAATCTGGATTAGGTTTCTTTTCCCCTAGTTTATGTGCCAGCAAGAAACACATTTCAAAACCTTGTGTTGACAGGGAGCTAGTTCATAACTCTTTGCACTATAGTGGAGAACTGAGCTGAAGTTTACCTTCTGGTGATGTTCTGACAAGAATTCTGCTGTCTTACTCTAAATGTCTATCCAGATTAAAAAAACTTAAATGTATACTCAGCTGTGACTTATGACATAATTTGGGGGGGAGAAAAACCCCATCAACCCACCACTCATACTGTTGGATGTATCACATCTTTTTTTAAAGCTGACTTAACAAATTTGAAATAAAACTCAGATTTGTTTAAAAGTTGACAGCACTTGATCTCTTAACCCTCTGGTGTGTATCTTAGCTGTAGTAGTGACTAACAAGAGCATTCAGTTTTCCTGGGGAATTTTTCTTTTTGTCTTTTCAGTGTATGCCGAGAATATTTTCAGAATGGTGGAAAAAGAAAAGCACTTGAGAAAGATGAAAAAAGAGCACTTCTTGCTTCTAAAACCACTCCAGCATTAAATGTTCCTCAAACTCCCAAGATTGAAGATCCTTTGCCAAACTTAGGCTTGACAAATCATGAAGCTGTGACAGAAGAGTAAGTTTTACGTGTTTTGACTTTTTTTCCCCCTTTTTTGAGTGTTAAAACTTCCCCTGATGTTTTTTTCCCCAGAACATGTTCGATCAGTCTGATGTATTTTTAATAGCTAAGAAGGGCAATTTTCATGTGAATATATACATTTCAAGAGCTGTTTATGTTGTAGTATATTTTGGTGAATGCCATAAAAAATTGCTTGAGAATGACAACTTAGTCATCTTCATTTCAGTGCTAAAGCAATTTCACTTTAGTATGTCATTGGTGTGCAATGCAATTTATATTAAACCTTGAGGTGAAATAAGGGAGATGTTAATTAAGTTAGAATCTAATGGCTGTTCAGCACTGTTGAAAAGTCAATTGCTTATGTAAGTACTAAGTGCCAAATGTAAATATCAGAGTACTTAAAACTTTCTCTTCATAAATAATTGCAGAGAAGCTCTTGATTCCAATTACACACTTCAAAAGCAATTTGGAATTACAACCCTTAACTTTTAATGTACTAGCTTTCTGATGACTGGCTCTGCAGAACTTGTAGTATCCTTGAGGTATTTTCCAAACAACAGTTTTAATTTTGTTTGTGACCTTCACCCAAGCAAGAATTTTATTTTTGGTATCCAAGACTAACTTTATTATTTCTGAAGTCCCACCCTCCATTTTTTTTCCTAAATAATGTGTCATGTTTGTGACTATTCATGTCTGATGGAAAAAAATTCATATTTTGCAGGTACAGTGAAATAATGAATGCACAAGCATAGAATCTATAAAAGTTATACTTATGAATTGTTTCATATTCTTTATAGTTTAGTTCTTAGAACTTCTTGCGGTAGTGTTTTTTCTATTGTGTAAAGAGGGTTTTTTCCTTTACTGTAGCATGTCTGCTGTGATCAGCACTTACTTGAAAGTGTAGGATAAGTTAGGGAAAGAATGACATGTTACTAATGTTATTAGTAGCTATGTCTGTCCTTAGGAGCTGGTGTCTTCTGTGTCTCTCATGTTTGTTTAAATCAATAGGTTTGATGATCATATTTACTTTAAAGCTTTCTAGCAGTGGGAGGCATTGTCAGGACAAAGCATTGGTTCTCTCTTTGATCTCTGTCTCCATACTTTCTGCAGTTAATAGTGGCTGTTGCAGAGCTAACTTCACCTGATTTCTTGCTACCAGTTGTTTCTAGCCTCCCTTTTGTTCTAATGTGTACAGAAAGGAGTTAATAGAGAAGTTTTATAAATTATTTTAAAGCATTTGTTAGTATAGGCAGTGCTGATGATTACTTTCATTCTCAGAAGTTTAAAAATATACACACCTCGTAAGACATACCTGGCAAAGGCAAGTTTTATAATATATACCTGAGTAAGCTACAAATGGTAGTAAGTTCTTAGTAGCCATATAGACCTTGAACAACAAGGCCTAACTGGTCTAAGTTACTGCCCAGAGAAATCAAAATTCCTTTTCTTGATGCCTTACAGAAGAAATTACAGAGTTTATCAGAAAGAAAATGGATTGTGTATTACATAAAACAGAGATCTCTCCTGAAATGCTTTAGCATGTAGCTTCACTGCTCTATAGTGAAGTCTGAAAGTTGGTCCAGGGGATACGGGGAACCTACGCACAGCGTTCAAAGACTGTCACTCCATTCTGGTCATGTAGCACTACAAGAGTGTGGGTTTGTCTATCGGTATGACTAAGCCGGTGACTCTTTGTTTTGCTCTGGTAGGTGTGAAGACAATAATTCTGTTCATCCCACATATAATCCTCTCTCAAGTAATTTATAAATATATATAAATAAGGTAGTTTTTGTAAATAGGAAGACAGAATACATCATAGTGATCTTTTCTCTGTACCACAGGTGAAGTGACTGTCCTGGAAATTAGAGGCTTCTGGGATTTCCTGCTTAATTTCAATCTGTACAAGTATTTCATTGAACCATTTAAAGGGAACATGTTTAGATCTCTAGAGGCTCTCTCTTTTTCATGGGAAGTCCTCTCTGCACCGTAGTATCCAGTTTCCTCTTGTTATGCTTCCTGTGATCCCATGTGTCCATTGATTTGGTGTTACTATATTAGACTCTCATATAGAATGTAAGCATTCATGTAGGCATATATTTTTGTGTTTGAGTGAGGAGGGATCTGCCATTAATGTCTCCATTTGCTAGACAAGGAAATACACTGGTCTGAGAAACCACAAACTACCCTTATGTGGGAAAAGATCTCTGATTTGACTTCCAACCATGTTTGTGATTTATGGCTACTAGGATCTGCCTACACAGTATCCAAATTCCTGTTCCAAGTCTGGAAAAATTGTTGCTTTCATCTTCATTCTGAAAACTCACTCAGTACTGATTGACTTAGGAGGCAGCTTGGTAATGTTTGCAGCTTTAGCTTAAAGGTAATTGTTGCACTCTTTGCCTTGGTCATGGTGGTATTTTGAGAGAAGTGTGCCCTAGAAATCTTCTGTTCTATGTAAAAGTAAAATAATTTGCCATTGTTTTTCCAAATGCAACAAGACATTTTATCTTGCTTTTCCAACATCCTCTCTCTGGTAGGTTACTGGGAGTCTAGAAGGAGCCCAGAGAGCCCAGATCTCTTACTGCTGCTCAGATGCTTTTCTTTCTTTTCTGCTTTGTTGTTGCTATGAGTATAGCCATGGCTTGGTTTTACTGCATTGGCCCTGCACCTCTGTTTCTGAAAGTTTTTTGCAGTTATCTGTCTCTCCAGGGCTGAGCCTTTCCCAGAAACATGACAAGTTACATTTTGGAGATGCCAGTTGGTTTTGGCTACAGAAACTTGAAGCAAAAAACATTTTATTTTTGAAATGTTATTAGCATTCTCATCTTTGTGAAGTCCCTGTGAAAGCTGTGACTTTGTTTGCCTCTGTTAATGGATTTTGGATATTCCAAGATGTTACAAATCACCATGGAATTTTTTAAAATTGCAGCCCTGTAAATGATGCTGTTTATGTAGTTGTTCTCTGTTTCCCTTTTCAACTCATGAAACTTTAATTCTGGTGTCTAGTGTGACTTCAAAATCAGTAAATACTACAAAAAGTTAAGTGAGAAACACAAAACATTATGAGAGTCTGTCTAGTAAACACACAGTTTGCCTTTTTATTTACTTGCTACAAGTGCAGAGTGCATAGTTATTGCACCTTCTCTGAACAAAACACTTCTGCTTGAGGACCACCTGCTTGTATTGATGGATCTTGGTTCTTTAGGTAACTCAGCAATTGAAGTAAGGTATTCACTTCTGTCAGTCACTACTGTGGTGTTCTCTGAGAATCTTTTGCATTAGTTACCTGAAGTTGTAACTCAGAATACAGCTTTAAAAATTACATTTGATAAAACTTAATTCTTGCTACTTCTTAGGTTCCTTCACTCCCTGGGAAAGATCAGATTACTTGATGTTGGTAGCTGCTTTAATCCATTTCTGAAGTTTGAAGAATTTCTGACAGTTGGCATAGACATTGTTCCAGCTGTTGAGGTATGTAATGTTTGCTGTATTTAGTATAAACTTGATCTTCAAATTTGTGGAATGCCTCAAAATAGCTGTAAAAGAGTATGTTTAATACTTACATGCTTTTTACATGCTTACAGGCTCTAGAGTCCTAGTTGTGTTTTGTTTTAAAAATACAATTTTTTCCCAGAGCTGTGGCATTATTAATCTTTAAAATCTTGAAAATTTTACTAGCCATCTTTTAACAGTATTTCAGATGACTCCTTGGATCTAAAAGGTATAAATAATTATTAAGTAGGCTTGTGCTTAGACAAGAGCTTCTCAGAAGCTGCATTCACTGACAGAAGGAAATGATCAGTGACTGTATTTGGTGAGTTTTTCTGGGGAGATTTAATATTCAGAAGTACACTATAAGGGAGCATTTATATTTATTGCTAGAAATATTTTTGAGTTTTCAAAATTCAGAGGACAAATTTATCAGCATATTTGGGGTAAATTACTTCATTTTCTCTAGGCAGTAAGGTTCTCAAATGCCTGAATTCTGCTGTAATCGTATCTTCTTTCTGTCTTTTGCTCTTGACCCAACTTCTGTCAGCACTAATTGCATTTATCAACCATGCAAAAGGATCAAGTGGAATAAATATGTTTAAAAAAGACACAGAAATACATTTCGGAGAAAAAACAGAAAAGCATTTGACTATACGCACCTTGACTACTTACAGTTAGAAATCAGGCTCTATTAAAATCTGTGGCCTAAGGTAACCCTCTGTAGAAGTGGAGAGGTGAAAAGAAGTGTACAGGTGAAAAAATACAGTTAACTGGAAAGTAAGTTTCTCTTATTTGCTGCAGTGTGATTTACATGCTAAATGCCTGGTAGTTTGTTACTGTTACCATGTTTAGTCCATTAACACCTCATTTGTATTTCTGCATATATGCTGAGAGACACTGAAAGATGTTCTTTAAAAATTTGAGCCTGATAAATTGCTTTCAAAAGCAATTCAATGTTAGTTCTGTCTAAAACACAAACTTTGAGTAGTTTTCGTCTTGCCTAATTTGAAACACAGGCATCATGATTATTTTCCACGACTTTGGAGGCTGTAGGACTGTGTAGGGCTGTTGGGCGTGACACAGGAGGTAAAAAAACCACATGCCACTGAAATGGGAGCCTGTGGCATTTAAAATGGTAATACATGACAAGTGAATTTCTAGCTATGATACATAGATCCTCAGTGTCTACATCTCAGGTTCTGAGTTCTAATTACAGTCAGTGAAGATCTGTTAGAAATAGTCAAACCTAAATATCTTCTGTTCTTTGATGGTGAGGTGAATTGGGTCACTGTGTATTGACTAACTCTCCACTGACTATAATGGCAGCCTAGGTACCTAACATTATATGAGTTGAACCTAAACATTATTTTTTGAGTATGCCTAGTTAATATTTTTCTGTCTACTAGTCAGTTGTTCTGCTTTCCTAAGAAAGCTACATGAAAATGTAGCTACATGATTTTCTTCTCATGAAAATCAATTTAAATGTGCAGTGACCAAAACCTTTATTGGGAAAAGTCCTGAAAAAGTAACTTCTGTGGATTCAGTGGAGGAACATATGCAATTTCTGTGTACTAACCAGTTCTTTAGATTCTCTCCCAGCAGAAGGGAAGAATAAGATAATTAGTTTCTGGTCATCTGACAGGGTTAGTACCATAGCTTCATGGGAGGAGCTCCCAGAGTGCTAATGCACAAGTGGTGACACACGTGCTTACTCTGGGCCTGTCTCAGGCTCACCAACATCTTTGATTATCTTGGATCCTTTGGTTTGCTCAGGGCACCTTGAAGCCTGGCTAGGAGGTGTTCTTGGAGGGACAGGGAGTACAGTTTGAGCAGTCAAATGCATCTGCTAGAATAAGCTTAGCCCTACCTCCAAAACAGAATTAATGGGCCCTGATGTACTGAAGATGTCTCTTCTTTGAGCTGCATCAGCACCATAACCTTCTGAATAAATTTATCTCTTAAGGCCAGAAGTTGCCTGGGCTGATTTAAGGTTTTTGGAATAGCAACCAGAGGTTAATTATGGTAGTTAAGTCATCTCCTGACTTGAAAAAATTATCTTGAGAAGTTGTGGTAAAAGCTGAAAAGAAAATAAACTGGTAAAAAATTCTGATTTAGCAGATTTCTTAGGCGAGACCCTAAAGTACCTTTTAAAACAAATTGAAGCACAGAGTCTTCTTACAAAGCCAGTTTCTTAAATAATGTTGATCAGAGGGTTAAATAGTTCTTTCCTTAATAAAAAAATATCATCCACCTTCATATAGAAATGCTTTGGATATAGACTAAGTAGCTGAGTAATAATTCAATTAATTTGGAGGACATGTGGAAATACAAGGAAAGGAACTGAAATGTTAGTTATGTAACTAAAGGATAAATGTCTTCAAAATTTTTAGAATCTCTGTTTCACATACAGAGAATGCAAACTGTTGAATATGGAAATATATTTCCATTGATGGGTTTTTAGAGAGAGGGAAAATGCTTACCAAGAAAAGATTAATATTTTCTTTAGTTAAGCAGCATGCACTCACTTCCTGGTATCCTGGAGTAAAGTACACTGAGAGAAACATGCATTATTAGATGGTAGGAGGATGAAAACTGAGACTGGGGTGTGCAGCAGATGCTGTCTTGGAGTAAATATAGTCTGAGACCAAAAGAAATAAAGTAAGAAAGAGGTGGAAGAGTACTGGAGTTAAAAATTAGAATATATATATCGATACTTGAGGATCCCTTCCAACTCAGAATATTGTGTGAAATATCTGTGCAAATTATCCACATAAGTAGGTTTGTGTTCTTAAATGTCAGTAGATGCACTGATAACTGTTCTCTTAGTGTCTGTGAGGACTTAAACATTAGTTTAAGACTTGTGTATCAAAACTTCAGTGGCAGATTCCAGTTTAACAGCATTTTTATCCTAAGTTGATTACAGATTCCACCTGAAACATACCTTAGTCCTGAAATTGTCTTTAACATTATTTCTGCATTACTAATTTGTGTTTCTCCTCTACTCAGAAATACTTGCAGCCTAAATTGGTTTTTTTCAACTGTATATGTGTGACCATTACCTTTTTAACTCTTTAAGTAAAGTTAGTAAAGTTTACTCTTGAGTAAAGTTAGCACGTCACTCTGAACAATCAGTTTTAAGGGAATAATTTATTTTTCTGTGGATTTTGGTTGAATTTGCTCTTTGAACTAACCTTAATATTTGGTTTTCTGTCTTTGTCACTCCACCAGAGCGTATACAAATGTGACTTCCTGAATCTTCAAATTCAGCAACCTCTTCAACTGGCACAAGATGCTATAGATGCCTTTCTTAAGCAACTGAAAAATCCCATTGATTCTCTACCTGGAGAACTGTTCCATGTTGTCGTTTTCTCACTCCTTCTTTCTTACTTTCCATCACCCTATCAACGATGGATATGCTGCAAGAAGGCACATGAACTTCTGGTATTAAATGGCTTATTGCTTGTAATAACTCCTGATTCATCTCATCAGAATCGCCGGGCCATGATGATGAAAAGCTGGAAAATTGCCATAGAGTCCTTGGGTTTTAAACGCTTCAAGTATTCCAAGTTTTCTCACATGCACCTGATGGCATTTAGGAAAACTTCCCTGCAAACAACAAGTGACTTAGTTAGCAGGAACTACCCAGGGATGTTGTATATCCCACAGGATTTCAACAGTATAGAGGATGAGGAGTACTCCAGCACTGCCTGCTACGTTCGGTCAGACACAGAGGATGAACAGCTCGCTTACGGTTTTATGGAGCTGCCTGATGCTCCCTATGACTCAGACTCTGGAGAAAGCCAGTCTAGTTCTATCCCTTTCTATGAGCTAGAAGATCCGATATTGCTTCTGAGTTAATGTAGTCGTTGAAATGCCCTTTCAGTCAAACTTCTTGCTTAACTAATTTTGCTATACTAACGTGGGCTCAACACAGAAAAAATGGTTTGCATAAAGAAAATGCAAAGGTTTACAGAGTTTGCTATTTTTTTCTACTTTTGAATTTTAAAATTTATTCTTGTATGAAAGTGAAAAAATACAAGTTTTATGCAAATGACTCATGTCATAGCATAAATTGCTGTTACTTTCTTTAGATTTGTATCACTATTTTTTTTTTCCAGAAAGGTACCATTCTTTTCTTTAGTGCTGTGAAGTGTGAATTCTATTTAATTTGTTAAATGTTGTTTCAGTATTTTAACTCAATGTGGTTGAGCTTAAGGCACTGGAGTTGGTGGGCTTCTGAGAAGTATATGTAGGAAGAAATAATTTGCACTTTAATTAAATGTGCAGATAGGTTAAGACACTTGGTTGCAAATGTCCTTTCTTAATTATGGAACAAAACTTTTTTTCTTCCAAAATTTGTTTCACTCTGGTTAAGCCTGGGCTGGAGAAACAATAATGCTTGCACATTTGACTTTATGTTTATTGCAGCCCTTGTGACGTGACACCAAAACACTGGAATATATGCATCCATAGTTCTACATACTGTGTAATTTCATTGCATAAATAGCAATTTCTGAAGAGGCTTTTCCCCCAGAGGAGTATGGTACGTCTAGACAATTATGTTTCACTTCAAAGCTGGAATATGTTTTGCAGTTTTATGAGTATACAAGCACTAATGTGTATCAGTATTTGCCCAACTATGGTGTTCTGTATTCTTTTCCAACTGGGTTTTCTGGGGGACAGAATGGGTTTTGTCTTTTTTTAAAAGTAAATTATTTATGCATTTTAAAAAGAAACAGCTTTTTCATTAATTGTCCTTATTTGTAGACCTAAGTTAGCCAGGGACTACAAACTGATTTTGTAAGAAGGAACATAACTCTACAAGTTTTTCAAGGATACACATATTTGCATAAAGCCATGTAATTCAGACCACACACAAGAATTTAACACCTGCTTTTTGTTTGCCTATTAGGACCCAGCTGACTTCTGTTCAGTTAAATAAAAACTCCATAGCTGACTGAAAATTGGTCTGCACTGTAAAGAAATTAAACATCCATTTTTACTTCTATTAAGTTTTTAACTTGTGTAGTGAACCTGTGAGTTTTTGCAGGAAAAATGAATTCTGTTCAGTGGTTAAAAAAAGAGGATTCATTATTAGTCTAGCTTAGGTTTTCCTCCATTTAAAAATAATGGCCAGAATTTTCAGATTTGGATGTTAGGCTCTTAAATCTATATGTAAGTGCCTAGTAGTAAATGATTATAACTAGGTGCCAGATCATGATTTATTTCGGACTTCTGAAAATTGGTAAAAAAATACTAATACAGTTTCTCAGGCTATTGTCTTCTTACAAGATGAAATATCTTCCATTAAACTGCCACCTTGTATTCATAATATGAAAGTTGCTAGATAAATTGAAGTTGTAGTGTGGGTTTTACAGTGCTTGCTACAAAAATGAAACTTACTCCTTCCATTGAAGTATTGCACTGAATGTGTCACAGTTTGGCCTACCTGTTTTTCTTTTATAGTATTTCCTACATAGAGTAATCACATTGGTCCAGCTTACACTCCATTGTGATCTGGACTGTGGTGCTGTATTCTTTAACATAAGCTTTTTGTCTCTTCTTAACTTTAAAGCATTCCCAAATTCCTAATTCAAATTTATTACTCAATCTGAATGATAGGGTTATACAAACCAAACAATTATACTGTGATGTGTAAAAAGAAAAAAAGAATTAAGGTTAGACATACAGGAATCATGGTTCACTTGCTATTTTTTGTTACAGAGAATACTTCTCTAATGAAGTACACAATGCCTTCAAAATTGGCTTTTAGTCAGTATTTTCATTCAAATCTTTGTCATTGAAAGCCTTTCTTCCCAATTAACCACTGGTTCCAGCAGTGCTCATGTTAAAATATTGCTGCTGTAAATTCAGCTCTTTATGGGAGGTTAATAAGTGCATTCTTCAAAGTATGCATAATATTTTAACTGATACTCTATTAGAAACAGTACACCATCAAACATATGTTGGCATTGATTACTGTAAATTGGTTTGTGATTCGTACACCAAGAAGTGCAATTCAGATCAAGATTTACCCTCCAAAATAGCTTAAATACTAAGGTTTAACGTTTAATCCTTTTTGGGAGGTTGGTGACAACACTGTGGTTTAGGGACCTGAGATTCATAACAGCTTGGTTTTCTTGCTGATCATTCTGAATGCCCAAAGTGGGTTTATTGGTTATTTGGTTTTGTGGGGTTTTTTTTTTTTCTTTTTTGGTTTGGTTTGAATTGTTTTTTTCACAAGGGACAGTAGATGGTGGTGAAGGAGGAAAGTGTGATTTACATAAATACCTACATTTCCCTTAATAATAAAGTGGTGATATCAGGAGTTGTTGTATATTTGGCTTTGGTGCAAGAATATTATTTCTAGGTTATGAAATATTTGAAAATTATGACTGTGCAAGGTGCTGGAGAAGAAAAGGAAGAAAACGTGTGTTGGCATCTCTGTTGTCTTTTATGTCACTACTTTTGTGAACAAAGCACATTTATTAAAAAAAATTTGAAAAACCGAAAACATTTTTTTAAATTCTTGGGGATTCAGCTGTTGTTGTTTTCTCTTTCTGTGCAGTCTGTTTATGTGAAATCCAGTGAAATCAATGCAAAGCTATTTTCTTTATTTTCAAGGAGATAGTTGTTTTGGGTTTAATTTATAACCCCTAAGGATGTTAAATTTGGTACTTCAGTTTCAGCTTCTACATCTCAGTGGTGGTCTTTGCTTTTCAGAAGGGTTTTTAAGTTCCTCCAGTTGATTCTGTTACCATGCTGCTTTCCCTGCCCACTTAGATGTGACCACTTTCTAAGCACTTCTTCTCATCTACCTCTACATGTTCTTAATTTCTTTTCTATCTCACTGAAATACTTTTACAGCTCCCATTTTATGTTGCCCCTTTAACATCATTATTGTACTTTTCTACATTGTGATTCTGAATACTGGAGGTGTTGGGAAAAGGTTGGCAATGGGAAAAGAAATCCAAAGAACTGAAAATGCAAGGCTCCTGCTCAGATACAAGTTGTAGGAAGACTGGATTTCAGCAGAACTGAAGTGTGTCCCTAGCACTGCACAGCCTACCTGGTACATTCTGATCTCTGAAGTGAGAGGGAAGATGACTAAATAGCATTTCACACATGGGCTCAGTGCTGCTTCCTGTGCATCCTTTCTGCCTCATCCTGTTTCAGGAGGACTGCCTGAGTGGCTTTACAAGTGTGATCATTCTAAGGCTTTTTAATCATATCTCCATGTGTCAGCAGCAGGTTTTCTGCTCATTTTTCCTTCTCCTTCTGTTTCCCTCACTTGTTTTCAACCTGTAGAAGAGCAAGTTCTTTTTAGAAAGGATTCATTTCACCAACTTGCCCAGAAGCTTAGTTGGGTTATTTTACCCTCCAAGTAAAACATGCAAGAAGAAGTTTCCATAGTTGCTTGAGGAGTATAACAAGATAATGGTTGAATCAGTACAGTACCAACTAAGTGTTGTCCATAATGCTGGTAAAGCATCTGAAGCATGTGACCCTTACTAGGCAACTGAGATTTCAGATCTCAGAAATATTTATTTATTAAAGGAAAACCTCTTAGCTTCTGGATTTTTTTGTTTTGCTGGGTTTTGTTTGTTTCTTTGGGGGGTTCATTGATTTTGTTTGTTGTTTTTAACCCGTGTAGATTTTAGGCCTTAGGGCCAGTTTTATCTAATATTTCAAGAGGTATCATAGTTTCAGGGTTGTCTGAGCTTCTTGTGACTGAATAATTGAGTCAGGAACGACAGAGGGGCAAGCTTAGATGTTTAGGCTGCTGTAGTGCTTCTTGCCTAGGGGCAGAAGGTGCTGGTTGTGATGGGGCATTACAGGAACAAAGGCTTTCTCCGCAGCAGCCCAGCCCACCTGCAGTTCAGAGAGTGCCTCAGCAGCTCTGTCATCCAAACCCCTGGCGTTTTGCCCCTCTGGGCCAGGCCGTGGGGTTCCTGTGCTCCAGAACCTTCCCGCTATGTGCTCACCTGCCTGCGAGAGCCAGTTCAAAATGTGCATTTCCGACACCGCGTGCGGAGCAACGCACTCCGAGGCCGAGGAAGCCGACCACAGGCTGGGGAGGGCTCAGTCTGCCTTGCAGTCCTGATTTAATCACAGTTTTCCCCCTTGCATGCCTAAGCACCGGTGTTTATGGGTTTGGTTTATGGGTTGCCTGGTTGGGCTTTTCCACAATTCCAGCCGGCAGCGCCGTGGCGGCGCGGCGGTGTTTGAGCCTCGGCGCGGCCCGTAGCGGGAAGCGCCGCGCTCGGGCTCGACATGGCGGCGGCCGGCGCGGGGAACGGGCCGGCTCCGGGCCGCCCGGTGAGGTGAGAGCGGGCCGGGCGGGGCGGGGGCGCCGCGGGCTCTCACCGAGCGCGGCCGGGCGGGCACCGCCAGCACCGATCGGCGTGGCGGGGAGGCGGCTGAGGGACCCACTGCCGGCGCGGACCCTCCCTTGCCGGGCCGGCCCCGCAGCTGGAGCTCCAGCCGGGAACGCGCCCTTCCCCAGAACTGTCATCCCCCCTGTGGGCGCGGGGTGAACATCTGGCAACTAACGCTGCCCTTCCCCGGGGGTCAAGTCTGATGTGTTTATGTACTAGCTAAATAGGACTTTTTGTTTTAAAAAAAACTCTTGCAGAATTGCTGGGGAAAAAAAAAAAAAAAAAGAGTGCTAAACTGGAAGAATAAAGGTGAAGGAAAGTGGATTCACTCTTTTAGATAGATCTCCCCTGGGCTTAACTACTGAACCAGTTTGGGGTTTGGTTGTTTTTTCAACTTTCTTACACGAGTTAAGGTTAAAACTACATTGAGGGCAGTGTTTCTTTACATATAGGAAAGCTAATAGATAATTTGGTCTGTAAATGATAATGAGGCTCCAGGTTTTCCTTGAAATTATATTTGCAAAAGTTGACAAATAGTTAAAAGTGGGTGTCTAGATTCTGTTGGGAATGTAAATGTGATTTGCTGAGAGCTGTAAGTCGTGCCCAACCTTAAAGCCATTAGTTTAAAACAAACACAGCAGTGCTACCCACTCCCCAGGACTTTGAACATCCCTGTGTAAAGAAAGTATTGACAGAAATTACTAGCAAATAGGTGTGTTTTAGAGAACAAATCAGTTATTGATATTTCTCTTTAAAATTAAATTGCTGTTGTCTTTTTATTTGGTAATAGCTGTGTGATGGGATACTTTAATCGTGAAAATGCACCTTTTCCTCTTCACAAAAAGTCAACCATTTGTTTTGGTTTAAAAATGCTAATGTTGAATAGTGTGGTTTAGGAGTGCACATTTTTGCTAATTGGCTAGAAGGTAGAGTCAGGAAGAAGAGATTGCATTCACAGACTGAGTTGTCATTTTGCAAATACTTTTTCACTACTTGTGCCCAAGTAGATTCTGTGTCTGCAGTAGGAACAGACGCGTTGCCCCATTTGTTCCCCAGCACCTGGCAGGGGAGGGGCAGAGCAGTTTCTGTTTCATGTTTCTGTTTCTTGTTTCTGTGCCGTGCTGGCACAAAACTCCACACGAGCTGAGGCAGTGAGAGTTGTGTTCTGTCAGTGGCTCGCTGCTTGCCTAGAAGGGAGTTTGCTGCTGTCAGTGATCCCATAGAAAACAATTCCGTGATTGCAGCAAAATTTTAAGCCGGATGTGAGGCGGGAGCTTTGCTGTTTGCTCGTATGCAAAGGGCTCATTCCTGCTGCCTTCTGGGGCTGCTGTCCAACTGAACGTTCATAGGGTTAGCCCCTCGACTTGGAGGGGTTCCAGAAAGGAATCCAGATTAAAAGGATGGGATGGCATGTGCTCTTCAGAGCAGCAGTAGTTGCATGTTTGTGCTGTGGTTTGAAAGAAGATGGGAAATCATTTCTCTATACTCATGGTTTGAACTAGAGAGGGCAGGAGGCAGGGGGAGGGCACGTGTAGCAGCTGAAATAAATGGTTCAAGTTGTCCACAAAATGAATGTTGATTGTAGTACAAGAAACAGTGAGATGCAGTCAGTGCTATGAAACCTAAACCTGGAATATGAAAGCTAACTCAGGTTTGTGTTATCTGTATAATAGAGAAACGAAAGGGTGAGAGGAACAGAAAGTAAAGGAAGAGATATTGTGAGATGTTAAGCATCCAGGCAACTCAGAATTTAGTCAATATCTGTAAAACACTACTAACAGTGAATGCTGTGAAAATGCACAGTTGACATCCAAAGAACTTTTAACTTACAATAACTTCATGTAATAGCAATTTGCTTTAAATATATGGTGTGTATTCTGCTTCAGGTAGACAGATTTTTAATGTATAGATCTTCCAAGTAATATCTGCATTGTTGTTTGGTATATAGCATAATTTGAAAATAAGTTACCAAATAGGTAATTTAAACAATAGGATTTCTTAGGCCTGGGTTTTCTCTGCAGCAATTACTGAAGCTGGTTTTACACTGTGTGTCAGTCTTTGAATCTGCAAAACTTAGGAGCAAATCAGTCAATTCACTTCAACATTTGTTGTTCGCTGGTTTAGCAAATAAGAATTTAAAAATCAAAAGGGAATAAAGTCTGAATTTTGCATTTGAGTCATGGTGTCTTTTAACACTTCCCCCACCAATATAAATAAAAGCAGTAAACTATAACCTAACACTGAGTGTTCTTGGCACGCTGGTTTCTCTATCATACCAGTCACTCTTCAGAAATCTCTCTAAGATGGGCAATTAGTTAATTAATTAAAAAATTATAGAGGCTACATGTGTCTTTTTATGTTTTGGAAGCTCTGCCCATAACATTAGAAAATGCCCCTTAGAAATACTTCTGTCTGTTTGTAACTATATTAAAAAGAAAATCACATCAGTTAAATGGATCTGAGTAGGAGGTGCTTGTGCACTAAATATAATATTTATCCTGATCAACTTGTTTGGTTTTTTTGGTTTTGGGTGGGGGGGGGGGGGGGGACTGACTTGAAGGGGTGCAAATGAAGGCTTTGATTTTACATTATGAGAAATCTCTGAAAATCACACCAAATCAGTTTTCATATCTCTGTGTCCACTCTCCTTTTGTGAAATTGAGATATTATTATCTTTTTTACTCGGAGTTAAGCTCATTAACTGAGTGGGAAGTTCTTTTTGTGAATCATATACTTATTTGACTGCTAAAAGGAAGTCTTGCAAAGCATGCTGAAAAGATTTAATAGAAAGTGAGAATTTATCAAATATAATAATGAAATAAAATAGTGTTTTAAAATAATTATGAAATGTTCTAGAAGCAAGTGGCTATCATAGAAGGGTTTTGGATATCCACAGATATCTAATATAGATACCTAATCGATGAGTTTTGTGGAAAACAGGCCAGGATTGTTTTCCTCTCATTCAATTTATGAAATAACATTTATGCAGAACCCATTTCATATTGGTTCTCACACTTAATTGGTCTTTTTAATGTGTTCTCTTTGCCCTAGATATTAAACTTCTTCATGTGACAGGATGGGTCATATTTATCCTCTATAGGCTTACAAGGAATTATTTGGCACTGAAACTTTTCTTAATTCTCTTCCAGGG